TTCATAAAACGCAGCTCGATAATTCACGGAATAATTCGCGGAAAAGAGAATAATCTTTCATCGACCTCTCACGTTTTAAAGTTCGCGCGAAGACACGTTCGTAAATGCAAACACTCGGCGATCTGGAGAGACCATTGATCTCTCCCGATCGGTGAATGGACGCAGCAATAAGAAAGATAACGCCGATTGGATCGTTCTGTAGTAACTCGGAGGTTTGGCATGATGCACGTAGTATGCACCTAAAAAGGACATCTATGCAGAACCGGAATGAAAGTTGTACTTTATCTATGCACAGGAGCGTGTTTAATTTATTTGCGAGATCTATATGGATTAGAAATAGAGTATGATAATAAGAATTCAAGATATTTACAAACATATTTTTCAGATTTTTTTTTAAATAAAATTATTAGACATTCCAAGTATTCCAAATTTTTATAGACGGTTAAGAGTCTTATAGGAGCTGTAGGTTTTGACTTTATGGATCTCTAGATAATAAAATATTCTTGTATCTATATAGATATCGCATGCCTATGATGTGCAGTAAGCAGTAAGATGCAGTTTGCTTTTGATAACGTTGGTGACATTTTCACGCGACTCGTTCGTGGCACACGAAAATGTGTTTTTCATTTGAACTCGAATTCAGTTTATAGCGATGACGGCACGCGCTTTATAAATTTAGCAGCAGGCTGCTTCTAATATTCTCGGATAAAGAAGCTCTTTGAATGCAAACAAGGATCATGGTTGACACGTTGTATTGCATTGTAATGCATTATGTGTGTGTATGATGTTGAAGGATAATTTAACTCTTTGTACTTAAATGTAATGATGTTGATAAACGCGATGTATTATATTAAATTTTGTATTAAATTATAGGAAAGTGAATAAATTAAATGTTTTAATTAAACGATAGCATTACTAAAATTCTCAGAGATTAAATTTTATGAATTCTTTGAATGGCTTTAAATAGAGCAAATATAGTTAAAATATTTTATAATGTCTTTCATAATTGTTATATGTCAAATATCGCAGAGACTAATCAAATCCAAGCACGAATATAAAATATACAATAACTTTGATCTCATTTAAAAGATAAATTAATTCTCTACAACTTTTGTTTCGGTACTTTTTGTTAAAAGACATATACTTTCCCTGATATTTGTAAAAATGTAAAAAATAACCGTGACTTCAGAGGTTTTCGGGCGCTAACTTTTTAAGGAAGCATTTTTCGACCCATGTTTATAGGAAACTTTTTGTTCGGTATTAAATTATCTTTCAAATGAGATCAAAATGATTGTAGTTCGCTCCATAGGTTTTGAAATAAACCAGTTTATAACCAATTTCAAATGTACAGAAAAGTGTTTTTTGGACTATTGACGGTTATTCGAAAACCTATGGAACAAACTACAATAAATTTGATCTCATATGAAAGATAATTTAATTTTCTACAACTTTTGTTTCGGTACTTTTTGTTAAAAGACGCATACTTTCCCTGATATTTGTAAAAATGTAAAAAATAACCGTGATTTCAGAGGTTTTTGGGCGCTAACTTTTTAAGGAAGCATTTTTCGACCCAT